TCCCCCAGTGACCTACCTCATCCAGTCACACCCTACCTGCCTATAGTTACCACCCAGTTAATCCATTCAAGTGGATCAATGCATTTATTATTTCATCTGTAAACTTTCTTGCCTGGCCTTATATACATGAGCTTTTGAGGGAAATCTCATCTCTAAACCACAATAGCGAATTGTTTTTCAAATTGTCTAATGCAAGTCACCTGAATAAATGGGGAAAGGTCCAGCTTTCCTCATGTCAAAGGTACTCAAAGTTCGTAGGTACTTTGATGGGTCCTCATTACCCCAAGCAGGCCAGTATACCTGCCTAGGACCAGAGATGGGCAGTGGACACAGGGTCCAGGGGGCAGGCAGCCTCAGCAGGAAGAATACTCAGAAATTGAACAGAAGCAAATGTGGGGACTAGTGGAGAAATCACAGTTAGAAATAAGGCCTTTGGGTGTCCTTGAAGGCCGGGATCATGTGAGAAATATCAAGTAAAGCCAGTTGCTCTCTCCTCTTGAGAGCTGGGTAAAAGCTTTGTTGAGGGACAAAGACAGACCAAGGAACTTGGATTGAAGTGTTAAACAATTTTAGAGTAGGATCCTTGGTCCTCTGGGCCTTACTACAAAGAGCTTGAAACTTTTTTTGGACCAAGATTTCATGCTATTCAGCATCTATTTCACCCTTGCTTCTTCATGAGCAGCTCATCTGTTGGACATGTGAGGCCCATGCACACATGAGAAGTGCAGAGATCTACTGTGGGGTTTCAGGACCAGGGCTGACAGCTTTAGAATAATTCCTTACAGTCAGATACTGGGCAGCGGGGAGCAGAGTGAGTGGGGAATATGATGGGAGATAGGCCTGTCTGTTCCTTCTCCTAGGTAGAGCAGAGAAATCCTGATAAATTCAGTTGTCACTTTCTAATGGTTATTATATTTGAACCATGAGAGATAAATTAAGTTTCACATTCTCTGCAAAGTTTTTCCTAAAAACATAGGCCTACACTAAAATTTGTTCTCTCACTGAGTCCTCCAGCACAGAGGGTCTCAAATTTGAGCATGTACCAGAATCACCTGGAGGGAAGGGAGATACCCTTGGAGTTGAGTAGGTCTGGTCTACTACCTGAAGATTTGCTTTCCTAACAAGTCCTGGGTAATCCTGCTGATCTGGGATCATGCTTTGAGAATCATAGGTACTAATACACACACTCTGCCTTGAAATGATTTATTTGAATTCTGTCAAATATACTAGAATTATTTTCTTCATGTTAGTCAGTCTTCCCACTCAGAACTCAATTCCTTTGTGACATGGATTGTATGTTATCTATTTTCCTGCACATCAATGAGCACTGTTGGACACCCTATAGATTAAATTACTTATATATTAGGAAGAACTTCAGAAAACTTGATTTCTTCAAGCAGAGAGGGGTCAGCTATGGTGAATGACAGGATTCCTGCGTTTTACAAACATCATTTACTTTTTTTTTCTTATCAATGTCCTAATCATGTTAAAGAAAAACTCCAGTCTTGATTTAGGAAAAAAGTGTTCATTCCTTCATCCTTCCAAACAAGGTACAGTACAACTGAACAACAATGCATATTCCTGAAAAAACACAACCGTATCTTATATTGTTCCCTACTCTTTAAGTATAATTCAGATATTAAGGAAAAGAGCTGCTAATCACATTAACACATTACAGGAATCAAAATTACCACACAAAATAAATTAAAACATTAAATATTAACCTTTTCAGTGCAACATATACAGAAGTCAGAGTAATAAGTTCTTAAAAAAAAAAACACCAGGTTTGTTGTAATGAAAAGTTGAACATTTCAGTAAATTATTACACTAGGAAGAGGGGCTTCTTTTCAGTACTCGTATGTGTGTGTGTGTGTGTACACAATACTAGGTCTTTTCAGAAAGCCTAAAGTAAGATCAATGGCTAGAGAGAACAGGTCTTATGTTAGAACGTTAAAAACGAACATGTTTGCTTGTTTCTCTGATGTGCCTCTTGGTTCTGGGCTGGTTGATCATTCTCCCTCCTTGGCTGGACATATAAGAAGAGAGAGAAATCCCAGAACCTACTAAGGGGTTGGGCCTCATGAGCAATGTTAAGGGATCATTGGTCCATCCCTGGCAAATTACCTGGAAAAAGCAACCAGTGGCTCACAAGTCCTGGAAAACCTGGCTGGGAGACATCAGACTGTTTTCTACACTTGCTAAGCACATCCTGCCCTCCCAAGAAGTTTCAGTACTATAAATCCTCCTCCCTCACCAATGTGGGTGGATGAATGTCAATCCCTCCTCTTTTTCCTCGCTCAGAAAAAAAAGCACCCTAGAGTCATTGTGCCCACCTCTTCTTCTGGGACAATGGCTACCCCATCCCTTGCTTAGTTCCAACTGTGTCTAGCTGGAGCCCTGTCTTCCAGATAGGAACTGACTGCTGAGTATCTTTCCAAGTAGAAACTGTTTCCTGTCAGTATATTTAATGTTACAGTCTATAGAGCAGAGAGTACATCTAGGTTTTGTAAAGGTTTACAGGCCTTTAAAATTTTTTTTTTTAATGGGGGGCTTTTCATGGTCTCCTGACTCACTGGAAATAGCTATGTTCTTCGCTGCTAGATGTGTGACTGCTTACCAGGTCAGGCCTCTGGGATGGTTACCTTTTTGAACACTTGGCCTTCTGGAGGACAAGGAAACAGGAATTCTGCAGGGATGGCAAGTTAAACACATTTTTATGCTAAGAAGAGAATATTTTTATAGCTAATCAAGGGACTACTATTGCCCGGAAATGGTACAAAAGGTACAATTTGTCATCATTTGACCTCTAAAAGAGAAATTGGCAAAGAATCCAGGTTGTGGACAATGGTCCAATCAGGCCTGCCTCAACCTGACTTCAGCTTCTGACCCTCTTCAGACCTGCTGGTTTACAAAGGACTGACTCAGAAGGCACTTCTGAGGGGTATGTGCATTTGAACCCCATCACTATATGAGTGGACAGGCACAGGAACAAGCACTGGCAGCTATGATGGCTGGAACCTGAGAACTGGAACATTCACAGAGGCTAAATCCGAGGTCTTTGTGGGGAACCTCTGCTTCCACCAGCTGTCCATCCTCGCACCTCTGCCAAGTCTCTTGGATGCCAATTACTGATAGCGTCTTTAGGCTGGATATTGGTGCTTCCATCCATTAGGCAAAAAAAAAATTTTAAAAGCCCCAAGAAATATTTCCACATGAGTTCATACTCTTTAAAAGCAGCCAGACCTCCCAGAGTCTCCAATAGGCCACGAAAGATTGTCTTAACATCAAAGTGACATTCTTTACTTAGTCTAATTCAGGATCTCGGAATTTTAGGAGGGTCTGTTGAGAAAGCTGAGTAAGAAACCAGTGTCAGTTGATTGGTCTCTGAGCAGGAGGCTACAGTCAGGTCTTGGCCCACTCATCTGCTGCTGTAGGGCTGACCCAGTGAACACAATTTGAACCTATTATCTTTAACACTTAAAACACCTGGAGCTGTTCGGGGCAAGCTCTGAACAGACCCAATTTCAGCACTTAATGCTCATGTGTGACATCATTAAATAACCAAAGTTAAGACAGGTGGGATCATTGTCTTGCAAAAAAAAAATCATAGAAATAATAGACTAAGGAAGTAGTTTTCTGATAGAAATTTCAAACCAACTTGACATGTTAAAAGTCCCTTTCATGATGTGACAAGATAGGTGCACTGAAGGGCTAATAGGTGGGAGTCTTTCCCTTTTCATTGTAGGAGTTTCCTTGCAGAGGAGTTCATATATTATTTCATTGCTATTCTGTTTCCAATTTTGTCAGTTTGAAGGGACTCACACTGGACCAGTGGGTCATAATGTCATCAAGTCTCGGGAGGACAATTTTGCCTCCTCTTGAGCAGAAAGTGAGAGACTTCTTAGTATTTTAGTTAATAAAACTGGCATTCTGAATGGAAGGGAAAGGAAAAACCAATAGCATGTTTCTCCTAATGCTTAAAAATAAATAGGAAAGTTAAACTTCTTCTCTTAAACATAAAGCAACAAACCAACCAAGCACAACATGGAAAATAAAGGACTGGTCCCCTTTCATGGATTCAGCCTGAAATGCCCATGGCTTGCTAATGCCCAAGCTGGGCTCATGAGGAAGCTGATGCTTTACCAGACAGTAGAGGTTGTATTTACTCTGTGTACACACACAGGCACTCCTGTCCTCTCCCCACAACAGAGGGGACAGGTCCTTGCTGCTAGAGTTGCTAACTTTTCTACCAGAATGTACCCTGGGGCATTTACCCATTTTGTGTCTTTAGATATCATGAACTCTGAGCCCCAATTTTTTGCTTCTGTCGGAACCCTGTCCTCTGGTTCCATCCCCACAGCCCTTGGGAGGCTTTCCCCGAGACTTAGCTGTCTCAAAGAGGCCAGACATTTCTAGTAAGTCTAACTTATCAGTCAGCAATACATACATCATTAATTCCTCTGGAGGGGTTTATGCTCTTTTACATTGACTTAAGAAATTAAAAATCATTATCCATCTAATAAATATGAAATTATCTCCAAGGGTGGCAACAGTATGGGAAGGTCTTCAACATCACGTGTGCATGGCAGGTGTCAGGCCGGTTGAGGGCCTTGTGGGCAGAGGACATGCATTTTCTTAAACTTGTCTTCATCGTAACAATAAGCCATTTCCTCTTCACCACTTTCTATGCCATGTGAGAAAACAGTAACAACAATAGAATCTCCAGTATTGGGCAGGATTCTGTTGAGGGGAGGTAGCCCATTAAGAAGAAATACAGCCTGGAATCCATGACTGGTGGGAGACCGTTGCACACACCCGATGTAGGTAAACAGGAAGGCCACTCCTTTGCCGTTATCACTTAACCAGTCTTTAAATTGTGATCCACTGACTTCTTTTCCAGAGCATACCAAATCCAAGCAGACAGAGTTCTCGATAGAGTTTTGAAGGCCCACAGAAGATGAAAGGCTGCACAGGTGATCACAGGCAAAGTAGGAAAGGTCTTCTGGCAAATCCCAGGCATCCCTGGTGCTGCTGACCTATAGGAGGCTTCTCTCCATCAGGCTGCCACAGTCCACCTGGCCAAACTCCTCCTTGGGGCTCCTCAGACCACTGGCAGGAAGGAAAAACAGGTTAATATGCTGTGGGCCAGACCTAAGCCAAGCTGGGAAGGAGACTTGGAGACGGCATTAGCTAATGCCACCAGGTTCTCTTGAGCAGTTAGGCAGAGTCTCAATCCTGCTGTCTCAGCCTCAGGGGAGCACTTCTGAAATTGTGCTTTCAATGCCAAAGGAAGTCAGCAAGGGTGACAAAGTGAAATGAGTTGTAGCAGAAGAGAAGGGAGATGGGAAGGTGAATGGACCCTCTCATTAGTGACTCAATTCAACCTAGCTTGTTCCTCTGAGTGGTGGCTTGGTGGGCAGCCCATAGAGCTTAGTGTAAAATGCCTTCCCCCTAAGACCATACAAAAATGGACCCATTGCCGGGTGCAGTGGCGCATGCATGTAATCCCAGTGGCTCAGGAGGCTGAGGTGGGAGGATCATGAGTTCAAAGCCAGTCTCAGCAACAGTGAGGCCCTGTCTCTAAATAAAATACAAAATAGGGCTGGGGATGTGACTCAGTGGTTGAGTGACCTGAGTTCAATCCCCAGTACCCCCACCAAAAAAAAAAAAAAAAAGACCCATTATTTTTTAGTAGATGCTCCCTAAGGGTTTCTTCTGGGGTTGATATAGTCCCTCAGCTCCTGAATCCAGCTCAGCCTGGTTAGCTACCTGCCCTGGTTTGTCTGGTGGTTCCTCTGGATATGTGGAGGGGAGTGCCCTGGTTCAGGGTGAATCACATCTTCAACAGGGTTTGTGTGTAGTACCCCCCCCCCCCTCCATTCACCCATCCTTTAGGCCCAGCTGGCCTGGTGGCATGCGTCATCTCGGGGAGAGGGGTTTCACCTTCAGTGGCCATCTCTGAAAAGCCAGATCCATTCCTGGCTCAAAGCTTACTTTCAAAGGTGGGGAGAAAAGTGACATTAAGAAGAAACTTACTCTACCCCATATGACTTCTGAGAGTCAGACAAATGCTATAAAATCATGTTTTCTTAAAATGTTTAAACATTTTTATATTGTTGTTACAAGAAAAGAATATCCACCTTCATTAGCTCCATGGATGGTCCCTCAAGGTAGTGGAAGAAGAGGGACTTCAAAATCCCTGGTCCTCAATTTTTTACTGACTCATTGTGGGACCCAAAAGGCCCTCAGTGGACCCAGTTTAGCCACTGCATTACATTATCCTCTTGAGGATATGCATCCATTAATCCTTAGAATGTTCTGAAGATTTAGGAAGTCTACAGCTCTTAAGTACTTCTCTTCCACAATTACTAAGGTTACTGAAATAAAAACCAGGGAAACAAGGCTACTGGTCCTCCAACTCCCTCCACAACAGATTGCCATGAGGTTTAATGAACACATGAGTATCTGCCTTTTTCTCCCTGCCCTCTCTGTGCAACCGGAGCATCTGAAATGCCAACTGTTTCCTACACATTCCTGGTGGATTGGACTTCAGCGATTGTCTCCTGACCCCATTACTTCTTCAAAAGGAATTTTGTTATGAGGGACTTGGATGACATAGCATCTCTGGAAAGGCTGTTGATGTGGGTGAGAATTTCCATAGGGTCTGGATAAAGTTTTGACTCCTGGAGACCAGAGCCAATAATGCTCAGAACAGGGGTCCTGAGCAGCCTATTGGCCTCATATCCAGAGATCCAATCTTCATGGATGTTGATGAAAACCCTAAAACAATGTTAAACTTAATGGGGAACACTAGGTCTAAGAGTGTGAAGGTCCTTAGAGAACTTTCACTGGCCAATGGAAAAGGGGAAGAGAACAAACATTGGACTATCTATAATTTGGTATATGCTAATTATGTGCTTTGTGTCAGTACTCATCTGACTTATACAGCATCTTCTTAAGACACAGGCTCTCTAATATTGACTTGTCGCAGGTTACACAGTCACCAGTAAGGATGAAAGAACTCCTTTCTAAGTCAGACACACCTTGGAATGAACCCAAACTGACTTAATAGAATAAAATAGCCTCCCCCCTTCCTGCTTCTTCCTCCTCAGACTTCTGCACCAACCTGGAGAAGGTGGTCATTTCTTCCCACCCAGGAGTGCCTCCTAAATCCCCCACGCAGCCCTCTACCTGTTTCTGAGTGGCAGCAAGCAGTCCTTCCCTTCAGGAGGGCACTGGGCTTCTCGTGCCGGCAGATGAGGGTGCGGCACCACTCACAGTGTTTTCGGACCTGGCAACAGCTACAAAGGAGGAGAGAAGATGGTGTGAACTGGAGCTCAGCGGAAAGCCTGGCCAGGCAGCTCTAAGACTCAACTAGCCTTCCCGAGGGTCCTCTAGAAGTTCAGGCACCAGAGGGAGCCCTTGAAGACTGGTGGCCTTTGGACCTGATGCTGGCCCACAACAAAAGACCAGCACCATTTCTGAAGCTCTGGACTCGCCGGGCTACATGGTTGTCAGAGGGGGCTGACCAGCCACCCAGCAGCTTTCTCCATAAAGAACCAGTTGAGAAACTCCATGAATGTAGTGGAATGACCATTAGGCTTGCGCTCAGTCACCACCCTCAGGCTGGCAGGACTGCAAGGATTCGGGGGGAGGGGGTGGTCATTCACCAGGCATTGCCAGGAGTGAAGCAGGAAACTTGGATGGGCAGAGTTGGCCCATGGAAAGAAAGAATGAGTCATGGATCTCAATGGCTTTGAATCCTCCTCTGAGGACCCAAATTCTCTCGTAATGGAAAATCCAACTTCTCTGTAAACCTGTGTTACCCGGAGTCTGGAAGCATAAGGGTTAAGAAGGCTCCTATCTCCCTCTGTGGGCAGGAATGAGCAGTTTCCAGAGTTAGCAAGCCCAAAGAACTGAGGAGCCTGGAACAGGAGCAGGGAGGAAAGCACCCGGACATTCATTACCACCTCCTAGCCCTGGGTTCCATCCCCAGTGCCACCGGGGAAAAACAAAATTACCTAGAGACATTGTCAGCTGTTTTCCTTGGGCTACCAGCAAGGGCTCCATTCCCATTCATTATAATCTTAATGTATATATGATTAATGTACATGGGCTGGGGGAAGTGTCCAAACTGATGTGAGCCCAAAAGCAGATGCTGAAACAAGCCCGTGGCTGTGTCTCTTGCTGCCAGGTGGTATTTTCAGAACCCCACTCCAGCCCCTCTCTGCCCTGCCCTGGAATATGAAGCTAGGAAAATTACTAAGCCCATGAAACTTTGGGCAGCAGTGCTGAGAAGGGCCCCTGAGGCCTTTCTGCCTAAGCTACTTCTGTCACAAATGGAAAATGAGAGGTCAGTGTAGTGTGGGGCCGGAGGCCCTCCTGAGCTACAGAGTCTGGGCTGTAACCAGCTCATTCCATGTTGGAAAGAGTTTAAGGCCTTGATTCTAGGTCTAAGCCAGGCAGACTTGCCCTGGTCATTTCCCAGCTAAGGTGTCCCAGGGCAATGGAATCAAGGCATCTAGAGCCCTCTAGCATGGGAGAGCTGGTCTCAGCCTGGACTGTGTGACTCAGTAATACCCTCTGTCCAGGCAACCAGAAGCTTAGTTTCTAGTAGGGACAGGGACAGCAAAGAGGTGGGACTGGCCACTTCTATGGGAATAAAAGATGGTATCCAGGCATCTAGATTTTTCTTGTCCCCACAGAATCTGAAAAAGTTAGTTTTTAAGTCTCTCTTGAAAGACCCACAGGGGTTCATAAGGATAAGAACCCTCTTGGCTACGGAAACAGCTAGCTGGCCATGGGAAGTGAGGGCAGCAGTACACTAGGTGACTCCTGCTCCCCTGGAAGGGTCTCTGAGTTGACAGTCTGGGATGTGCCCCACCCAAACCAACGCTTCTTGTCTATTCCCCACAACTGTGCTTTCCCAGGATGCCTGCAAGGGGAATGGATTCTGCCTAGGGAGGAAGGAAAGGCCACCTCAGTGCCGACTCTATCCTCCCTCACTTAGTGCTGACTTGGCCCGGGGGAAAGGTGTGAGCAGGCCGTGGCTACTGCCAAAAGCTGGGGCTCTAAGAGGCTCCCCATTTGTTGTCAGGAACCAGAGGCATGAGCTTCAGCTGATGGGATAGTACTGGACTAACAAACCAACAGGACGGAGCCTGTTTTTGAGTGAAACCTAGGCGCCTCTAGAGGGGGAAGTGCGGCTTCCTGCATTAACATGTAGCTGTGTGTGTACTCCAGCTTTGCTACTGTTTGTCTCCACCATGACTCAACCAGCACTGTGCTGACCTGAGAATTCCTCCTGAGAACTCCTCAGAGTTCTTGCTCTCTGACTCAGACTTCAGATATTTCCAGGTAGGAAATCCAGCCTAGTGCTGGGAATACAGCAGAGGGTATTCCCAGGGTCTCTGATTCTGGAGAGCAGTTCCTTGGGTAGAGCAAGCAAATGAGGCCAAGATGCTTGTGAAAAGGGTTTCCCTGAGTCTAGGGCTCAGAATAGCTGGAGGATAGAACTCTAACCCAGAAACTGGACTTTGGAGGATGAAGAAGGCAGAGTGGTGGGGAAAAGGGGAGGCTGTGCAGGTCATCAGCATGTAAAAATGGTGACAATGGCCTTTGATGGGACTTTGGAATTGGCAAAGTGCCTTCTGCAGAGAGAAAATGCTTCTTCTACTGCCCAGAGAAGTCGGGGAGCTGTTTCCAGTTCTCTCTGGGGGCACTTGTCCATCTCATCACTATCCTCAAGGCTGTACCCCAACAGTGGAGAGGGAGTGTGCCTATGGTTTGACATTGGCTTTGAGCAACATACAGACCCACCACAGGGGCCCCTCCCAGGATGCGCCAGGCCCTTACACAGCTTGGCTGCCATGCTGTGCCAAAAGTCATCATAGTTCCTCTAAGCTTTGCTGATGTTACTCATGGTTCATAGCAACCAGCTGTGCTGAGGTAGCCCTGTTAAGTGGCCAGGGAGCAGAGGTCCCTGGTAGGGCAGGGGACCTGACTTGGGGGCAGCAACTACTCACTGTATCAGCACACATGCAATGATGAGGACAGCCAGGGCCACAATGGAGACCACCACCAACGCAGTGATAGCTTGCTTCTTCTGGCTGGCAGCCACCACGGCCAGGAGGTCTGCGTGCTCACAGCGTGCACCCACGTACCCAGAATGGCAGCTGTGGAAGAAAGGAACATCAGCACGCTCCTGATAGAAGGTCTTGTTCCTCAGTGTGCAGGGAGGACCGGGCTGAAGCGACCTAGAACCCATAGGAAAAGCACAAAGGGGCCTTCTAGCCTTTGCTACGGGACAATGGTGTCCCTGCCACAGGCACTGCGTTCTAGGAGTGGGGGGACTGATTCCTATTCCTGAGCAGGAGAGGTGCTGCTAAAGCACTTCATAATTGTTACTGTGCTAAATCTTGGAATAAAGGCAGCAAATGTGTTTATGACAAGAACTTCATTTTAGCAGTTCATAAAAATCCAGGTTATTTTTAAACCAAATGTTTATTCAGAATTTCAGATGAGAGCAAGAAAATACATTAAAGTAGTTGGAGACATAGGCTGTGCTTAGCCTTTTTAAGTTGATTTAGTCCTACAAGTACTTACTTGCTGGGTGGCCCCGTGTACAGGGGGAACCTAGCACCACTACCTGGTCACTGTAGGACTGACTGAAGTTGCCAGCCTTGTGGTGAACCCTGGTGTCCTCATGACCAACAATACCTGGCCTATGTCCACTATAGGATCAGGGTGCCAGGAGGTCACGTGTGTGAACGTACTGGTGCCCTCATGAACGTGCGCACTCATAGTGGTGTGTTCCTGCTATTGATAACTCTTCTGAGTTTCTCTGTCTTTGATCATGACAATAACAACCTCCTGCCTTGCACAAGTGGATCTCATCTCACCCCTGGTTCTCCAGGATGTGCTCTAGCCACAAGGAAATCTTGGTCATCTTCTTTTACAGGTATTCTCCCCTTCCCCAAGCATCATTCCTCTCAATAGAGGACTTGGCTCACACACTGGTACCTTTTTTATTGTCAGTGAAAATATCTGAACCACCATCTTGATTGGAGTGGGGGAGCTTTCTTCCCATAGGGGACTTTTTTGAGGGGTAGCCCCGCATCACATGCTGGATATAAAGTTTCAGTTTTGCTCTCCACCCAGATATGACAATAATAGCTGAATCTTTTTTTAAAGTCTGCTTTTTGATTAGCCTGTAACCTTTCCTTGTTCCTTTGAAGAACAAGGAAAACTGAAAGGGGATTAACAGTCTCAGGGCACCTGCCATGGTGCCAGGCTGGTCCCAGGGCCATTACACTTTTGATTCCCTTATTACTTCAGCGCTCCTGGGCAGCCAGACCAGAAAGGTACTTGGAGTCACAGGATAAACATGGTATGTTTCCCTGGAGCACAGATTTTTGCCCAATGTTAACAAAAGTTGAAGCATTTTAATGTTGAAAGAATAGGTATTATACCAGCTTAAGATTTATGGAAAACAAAAGATGTTGAAAAAGTTGCTACTGAAGGCTTTAGCTTGGGATGCCAGGGCATGAAGTTTTCTGTAACCTATTTAAAGGTAGTCATTGGTTTAAATTTAAGCATTTGTGCTTTTGTTTTGTTTGCATATTTAATTCTGTATTTGCCTTTCTTGCACCTTCCATTCTAGGGATATCAGAGGAGTTTGTACCCAGGTCTGTTGACCTGAGTTTGGGTGCTCTCATGTACCATGCAGCTTTGCCTATAAGAGCCTGGGGTGAGAATGTCAGAGTTATCACAGTTCTGGCTTTTGGCTTAGCCTTATAATCTTGAAAAGGTTAAAAAAAAAAAGAATGACCAGGAGGACAGGAGGAATTAGCACTGACAAATAGAGGGCAGCATTTTAGAGTTCTAATTTAGCAAGGTGCAAAGGGTCTGCAATGTTTGGTAAAGGAGGAGGCTGAGGGAGAGCCCCTAGGATGGGAAATGCCCTGTAGGGCTCTCTACAGACCAGGGAGGGGAGTGCAGACCTTGGATGGTGGAGGGATCTCTAATGACTTCTCTTGGAAAAGGGTCGGGATCATTGAAATCTTGTTAAGAATACTCTCAGGGTTTGGAGTAGTGGGACAGAGGTGGATTTTGTTTGATTTTTAACAAAACAATGCAAAGACAAAAGTGACAGGGGACTCAAGGCTGGGAGGTGACTGGCTCAGGCAGAGCTGACATCTGAGCTGTCAGTGTCTAAAGAAAACTGGGCAAAAGTTCCTCCTCTGTCCTGTAATCAAGTTTATATCCTGTGGCTCCCTACCTTCCAGAGAGGCCATCTGCATTGTGGGCTTCTTCTATTTGATGTTTGGTGCCCCAACCATGCCAGGGTCCTAATCTACCCCACGGGCCCACTTTTAAATATATGCACTGCACCCAGCAAAGTGATTGGCACCTGGGCACTTGGGATGCAGCTGCAGAATGAATGAAGGGCTGCCCTCTATTTGTCAGTGCTAACTCCTCCTGGCCTGGAATATTCTTCTTTGCTCTCTTCCTCAGACTCTAACTCAAAGACCACATTCTCCAAAAACATATAATTTAGACACATTCATTGGCCCAGTCCCTCATCTGTCCATTTTCCTACCCCTCCTTTAGTGGCTCTTCCCAACCTCCTTGCTCCTGTGGGGCAGGGCCTGGTACTACAAAGTGCCCTGCTTCTCAGATTCTCTTTGTGAGGAGGATAAGAAAAAAGGTTTAGTAACACCCCCCCCACCACCACCACCATCACTTTTTTTTTAAAGAAACAGTTTGGAAAACTTATTTTTAATATTAAACTTAAATTTATGCTGATGATTTTAGGCATAAGTCACACTAGGAGGGAGAGTCACTTCACTGGGCTGTAAATGACTCATGCTTGACTCAGCTGCTGTCCTCTCCTTTACCCCAGGCATGTACTGGTTCCCATCTGGCTGCACATCAGAATCATCTGGGAAGCTCAGGAAAACCAGGGCCAAGGCCACACCCCTGGAGACGCTCGTTCAATTGGTCTGGGCACCAAGGCCTGAGACCCACTGAGGTAAAACTACCATTTAAGTGCACGGAATTGAGAACCAAGTTCATCTGCCCGTTTCCCTTTCTCCCTTGCTCTCTGAGCATTTTCCTAGGGTGGCAGCTGTACAATGGGCTCCCTCATAGCAGATGCTGGGGAAATAGGAGCAGTTGCACCCCCATTTAAGAAAATAATCTGAGGAGTTATCTGACAGAGGTAAATGGGAGATGTGTAACCGAACATCTTATGCCACTTGACCATTCGCTCTCCTGTCTTGGTCGTTGGTCAAACACAAGATTCTAGAAAGCTGGTTTGTTTTCATAATTCTGAAAATGAGGCACCGGAATCATATTGAAGCTATGTTCCCATAATAAGAGCAAAAATAAAGTCAAGTGCAAGAGAAAAAGGAAAGGGCACAGTTGAGGAGGGGCCAGGAGCACATCAGAGCAGCAAGAGGATCCAGACAGGTGGGTTCCTGGGGCTTTTTGTTTCTGTTGCTGATGAAGTCTGAAGGTTGCTTTGGTGCTTTTTGTAGGAGCAAACATTGTGGCTGTAGGCAAAGAAATACCTTTCTTTTTCCTCTGCTATGACATTTTGGGTCTTCCCTTTCTACCTGGTTCACGGTACGCTTTTAAAATGTTGAGAGATTTGAAAATACATGTAGTACTGTGTTCTTGAAGAAAAATTTTCCTCAACCAGAAAAGGAACATTTCCAAGCAAATCGGAAAGCACATAACTATAACAGAGCAGAAAGAAATGCAGCCCTAACCCCACTCATGACAGCCCAAGCCACGATTCCTTTTATGCTATTTCTATGTCATTTTAAGCATAAATTTCTCATTTAACATCCCTGCACCATTTTACCATCATTACCAAACAGTGCAAAAATCATTTAAAATGCCAACTTAATACTTTATATGTGTAGTTTGCCTCTCCAAACTCTAATCACTCAGACTCCATCCAACTATGATACTACAACTAATGCCAGGTGATAATCTCAAATGCAAACAAAGATGTGTGCACAAAGATAATGTCCTCAGGACAGGATCCCAAAGGTAGGTACAACATGGCACAGACTCTGCAGCCAAATTGTCATGGGGTCCGAGCCCTTTCCCTACTTATTGCCTGTGTGACCTTGAAGGAGTTAGTTAATTTCCCTGGTTCACAGATTGATAGGTCTTATTACTTTTGCATTTTAAAGATACAATCTCAAAGAGTTATGAAAGTTAAATGAGTTAGGCACTGTTTATTGCACTTTACAAGTGCTAAAAAGACCTCAATAAAAGAATGGGAACATTTTTAGGGCTCTTGAGATATATTATCTTCATAAGCAGTGATGTAGCCTCTGGTGAGAGGCTAGTACACTGCTTACTAGCCAACTCTTTTGGTATAGGTCTCAAGCTAAAGTCTTGGATGTGACAGTCCAGGACCAAGTTGAAATGGTTTAGAAATATGTTTTACATTAATTTGCCTTTAACATGGAGAAATCCCACAGGGCAGGGGGAGGAGTGGGTATACTGGGTCCAGTGGCATGTGTATTAGGATTTGCCCAGTCCTACCCTCTCTCCATTCCAGGGCTGGGAGGATGCTGGATCTGCCTTTGCAGCTCTGATCCAAGGGTCGTGTGGGATGCCTACATGTTTTCTACTCCTTTGAGCAGGAACTTACAATATCCCTGAGATGTGGTGATAGTGCCTAGGGCGGCTGATAGCACAGCATAAGAATTCAACTGTTTGCTAGGAAGCAGGCTTGCTTGGTCCCTTATGCTGTCCTCTAGAGCTTTTATAATGATGACAGAATTGTCTTTATCCAGTGAGTCTAATGCAGTAGCCACTGGCTAGTGTGACAGAGAAACTAAATTCTAATTAAGTCAATTAATTTAAATAGCCCCACATGTCTAGTGGCTCTTGTCTTGGACAGCATTTACTTTTGATAATTACTGTCACTGAGTCCTCATTATGAACCCATGAAGTATTAGCAACCCCATTTTATAAATAAACAAATTCAGGCTTAATAGGGCTAAGTCCCTTGTCTGAGAACTCAGCTGGATTTTAACTTGGGAGTGTCTGACCTCCAAATCCATTCCTTTGACTTCATTAGGGTGCCTAGTGTGACCCTACCTGGTACAGGTGGAGATGGGGAGAGAATGGGGATAAGCAATTTCTCCAGATCTGTGGATGAGAGGGACACCCTACTGCTTAACCCCTGCCCCCTGGCTAGGTGAGAAGATAATAGACCTACATCAAGCAGCTCATGTACCAGTAGGCACATGGTCACTATCTCCGGGGAGGTGGGCCATTAGTCATGGGCAGCATGCTGGTGCATCAATGGCCACCAATATCTCTGGAAGTTCGACTATTCCGATTGCACTGGAATGTGCTGTGGAATGTTTTCCTTGGCTAGCAGTAGTTTGTTTTCACACTCGCTGTGGGAAAGTTGTCAGGGAGTCTGGGGGCTGGAGCATTTGGTACAGGTGAGAAACTCTGAGCTAGCTGCCTCTGGTTGCCAACACTAGAACCCTTAAAACTTGTCACTGAGATGGCTTCCGCTGACTGTTTTCTTTTGTTTGAAGGCTTTCACAGGCAGCAGCCCAACAGTTTGAGGAATCCGCCTCAGGGAAAAGTGGTGCCTAACCACCCATGTCTGTAGCTTCACTGTCTCTGCACATTTTCTGCTAAATCTCTACTAGGACAGAAGAACTTCAGCAAGCAGATGGGCAAAGGGAGCCATAAATGTGCAGATGAACAGCCCGGGGCTCAGGTGAAGCATAAATGTTTGAGGATGATTTTTCACTACCTTTGGCCACTTTTGACTATTTTTTTTTTTTATTCTCTCATCTTACAGTACAAGATGTTATTTTTAGGTTTTTCTGGAAACTTAAGGACTTCTTATTAGAAGACGAAGTCTAAAAATGTATATTTTGAAACCATCTTCTTGGCTCACTGTGGGTTCTTTATAATGCTGTGACAGATGGGGCCATACCTCAAGGTATGTCAGTTTTATTGACCAGAATGTTGTGTGTGTCAGCTCCCGAAAGCTGGGGCGGTTCTTAGAAGCAGAGACAGAATGTTCTGGCTTTCTCTGCACGGACACAGTTTCTGGTCTAGTGGGAATTAAGTAGTTAGAACATTCTTCTGAGGACTGTAAATATATAAAGGTATAAGGTGTGGTCCTGTCCTCCAGAGCTTACGAGACAGCTCTGGCACGGGGCTCCCTTTGCCTCCTGCTAAGGGTGTGGCTGGGCACCCTGAGCATGCTGTGCAGGTGGGACCATACATCCCCCTGCTCCTGCCACCACCCTGCTAGGTCAGAGCCAGAAGGGCCTGATTTCAGATCCTGTCTAAGGGCTGAACACTCCCAGCCCTGGGCTCAAGTGGGTGACTGAGGGGAGTGCAGTGGGCTAGGGGAAGCAGAAGATGGAGACCGACACTGTGCTTTGGTGTTGGAGTATCCCTCAGAGAGGTGGGGGTATGTCTGAGTCCCAGCCCAGGGCTGCCTTTCTTCAAGAGAAATTGGGTATCTGCAGGGAAATGCAGAACCTAACTTCTAAAACACTGCGAATCCAATAAAGCCAGCAAAAAAGGAAGTGGAGCATCTTCTACTGCCACATAGTCCTTGTGGACTGAATACTGCCCCCAGGATGCCAAAGTCCAGAGCAGAAACTGAGGTCAAGAGGTGGGAAGGGTTGGTGTAGCCATGCCTCCCCAGAGGGCCAGCTCTGCCCAATTGCCTTGGCTGTCTCATGTTCTTAGGAAGGACTTGTTAAAAGTCTGGTCAGAAGAGCTTGGGAATGAACCTGACCTTCTCTGGAAGCAGCTCTATCTATAAGGGGAGAAGTCAACACGTTCCTTGGAAACAAAAATGCTTAGTGATTTGATGTGGATTTTTCGAGCTGAGGCAGAGTGCCCTGTGGGCAGGAGCTGGAATAATTAGGGTGAATCCCACCTCTACCAACTCTGGGCAAGTTTCTTACCTTTTCTGAGCTTCAGTTTCCCCACGTCTACAATAATTTTTAGTGGAGAAGGACATGGTGAGAATCTATGAGAGGCTCAATGTGGAGTGCTAGGTACCATCCCTGACCTAAGCTACAGCTTTTACTGAGAGTTTATTCTTAGTAGACATACTTATCAGAATGGGATGGACAGTCACCTTTATTGAGCCAAACGCTGGACTTGGGATCCAGACAAGGGAGAGCAGCACACCTCCCCCCTCAAAACAAAAAACAAAAAAAACTTCAGCCACAGATAGTTACTGATTGGCTTGCTTGGTGGCCACCGGAAGTCTGCACTAGCTTCTGATCTAGTGCCGGGGAAGCAGACCTGAGCTTGGTGTAGAGACTTGTCTTTTGTCTCCAAAGAGGATCCTCCCAACTTGGCCAGGGCACACGGAGGCCCATTCTGGGCTCTGGAAGGGAGGCTTCTGGCTGTTACAGACAGGCTTCCAGAGCTGTGGTCAAACTCCCTTCAGTGCCAGTGTTTTTCCAGTGACCTGACTACTAATAAAAACAAACCCCTAATGTGCATTTTAATAAGAATGATAATCATGAGTAATGACAGTGCCTACTATCAACCGCATTGTGCTCCACTATCAACCTCATTGTGCTCCACTTTACTAGGTGGGGAGGGCTCTCATCTGGGGCAGATTCTTAGAGCTAAAAACATTCCTAGCAGAAAGGTTGCCAGCTTGTGTGTCCTCTCTAGGTGAGGCTCAGAGATGTTGAACATGGACAAGGTTGAACCCAGACTGGACTGTGGACTGAAAACCCTCCCACCACATCAGCCTGTAGCAGGCTCTCCTGGCCAGGTCCTTCCCAGGCTAGTTGCAACTAATGCCCTAAAGTACCCTGCCAAAGGACTGGGTTTTAAGAGCCATCGAATCTAAGCTCTGCTATGGGACTGGGCACAATCTCTCTGAACCCACCTTGTGGAGTCTTCATGAGATAACAATGGATTGTGCTTGAAATGGTGCCTGGCTGGTTTTTAATTAAATTTTTTGCATTATTTTGTACTATTAGGTTGGACTGTATGAAATTGCTGGCCCTGGGCCATTTTTGACCAATGAATATGTCAATTTCACATCGAACTGCTTATTAGCCCCCCAGGGACATTTGGCAATGTCTGTAGCGACACTAAGGTGGGTAGTGCTCTGGCCAGCTAGTGGGTAGAAGCTGGCAAACGTCCTTCAAGGCACAGTTCAGCTCCAAACAACAAATTATCTGGCTCCGAATGTCAACAGTGCCAAGGTTAAGTATAGGTTCTCCTAATTGTAGTTAACTACAGACAGTCTTAAAACATCTCTCTTCAAAACTTACATGGCTCCTACTGCCTGGAGGCCAAAGGCTCACTTCCAAAAGGCTCTGGCCTCCAACCTCGTCTCCTCCCATCTCATCCTGTTGTAGCTTCTGACCTGTAACAGCAGGTGCCACCCCCTTGACACTCCAGGCCTGGAGCAGCCTCCACTTGCCCAAGGAAGCTTTCCTCAAGTCCCCTTCTTACCCCACCTGGCTGACCACAGAAATCAAAGGTTGCTCTTTACTAATGTGATTCCTGGATTCCACCCCTGGAGATTCTGATGCAGGAAGTCAGGATGGGGCTCAGCAGTACTGTGGGGAGGTTGGCCAGGTGTGGAAGCCATGATGCATCTTTATGTACATTAATCCTTTGCCTGCACTTCCAGTTTAGCCTCTCTTCAGTCCAGCTAATGAAATAGAGTGCAGAGTCCTCGACACCTCTGGCCACTCAAAGGTACCTATCCCAGGGCCTCACCCTCCAGGAAGAGTTGATTAATTCAGGAATTTTCTCAACTTTGATGAATCCAAAAGTCACTTGAGATGTTTGTTCAAAATGCAGCCCAGGCTCTAACCTCCACAGGGGTTCTGCCTCAGGGGGTCTGAAACCTGGGTTTTTGGCCACCTGTTTCTGAAGCAAGTGGCCTGAGGCTCTGAACCTGAGCCCAACTTCAGGGTTCTCAGGAGTTTCTGGCAAGCCTTGCAGAGGCAAATGCTCTTTTAATCGAGTGCAGGATCACCCCCGGGGGCTAGGGATACTTACACACATGCTGGCTTATCCTCCTGCACCAAAAACCTGCAGGTTCCATGAAAGCAGAACTGAGTGTGGGAATCTGGGCATTCATTAAAATGTGACACCACTGCTGCGGCCACAGGCGGATCTGCTGGGGAGAGAAGACACACTGGGCTCAGATCTGGGCACAGATGGCGCTTGCACCCCACCAGTCAAGGAAGGCGAAGACCCTTATAGCTGGGACTTCCTGTCCCCGCCTTGGGGAACCCCCTCCAAAACTCACTTTTTGCCCCCACACTCTATAACTAGTACCTAGTGCAGGACCACAGTGCCTCCATTAGGTGCCTTCTGGATTTTCAACAATCTCTCCAAAAGATTTGGTATGATTCAAAGACATCAGAACAATTCCATCATTTCAACCCAAGAGCTACTTATTTCACTTTTATAATGTGACTGATCAATTTTTAAAGAAAATATAGCTTCTACTGGGTGTGGTGATACATGTCTGTAATCCTAACAACTTGGGAGGCTGAGACAGGAACGATGCAAGTTTGAGGCCAGCCTCAGCAACTTGGCAAGACCCTCTCAAAAAGGGTCTCAATATGTAAATAAATGATAGCTTTTATAAAAAAAATTTTTCAAAGCAAAATACCAGAAGGGCACAAAGGAACCTATGCCCGCTAGAGACAGAATAGTTAATGATGCAAAAAGATGTTCATGATATATTGTAAGTGAAGTTAGTGTGCTTCCAATAGGGTCTGTATGGTCTGAAGAACACAAATGAAATTTAAACCCAGAGGAGTCTGGGAAGAATACACTAAGCTGGCAGCAGGGCTTCTCTTGGTGCTGAGGCCAGGAGAGGGGAAGCTATGTGTCTAAAGCAAAGGAATTCACATGAGAGCAGCCCAGTCCCATTGGGAAGCCAGGAGGGGGCAGGATCAGGTCTTCCCCACAGTCTGGGCACCACGCCTGTCAGGCATACCACACGGACAGGCTGATGACCAGCACCTGAGGCTTTGCTTTGGTTGATTTTTTTTTTTTTTTTTTTTTTTTACTCCACCATTGGCCTCATTCTGTCCAAGTGGCACTGCTGGCAGCTCCCTTGGCAGGTAGTTTTCCATTCTGTTTGGGGAGACTTTCCTACTTATTTATTCCCCCCAAAACATGACTTTTGGAATTCTTGCTCTGTGAAAAAGGGCAGAATATTTCACATTGTGAGGTTTAAGGCCCAAACCAAATGTTAAACGCCCGTTGTCCTCTATTTATGAATTGCCTCTAGAAGTACCACATTTTAAAAATCCTATAATTCCACTGGGGGCGGGGAAATCACAGGCTGAAAACACGACGGAATCCTTGACACGGAAGGCAAGAGTGTAGTGGCTAAACGTGCACTTTGGAACCAGAGGGGCCTGGGTTTAATTGTGCCTCTGCCCCCTGGAATGGCATGCTTAGCCTCTCCTAGCTGGCTTCTGCATCTAAAGATGGGGGGCCACCTACCTCATGGGTGGCTCTGAGGTCTAGCCAGGTAATGCTTAGTAGGTCCTATACCCAATGAACTGGCTGATCTAGGCCACTGAGCTGTCTGTCTTATTATCCTCACTCACAGTCCTAGGATACTAATGAATCTCTGCATGGGGTTTAGACCCATATAGCATATCGTCCTCTTTCCCACCATAAATGTGGAGACATGGAGCTAACAGTTCAAATGTTCCCTCAGCCCTAGTCATGGTTGTGAGCACAAGTAGAGAAGCCCAAAACCAAGTGGAGATGTCAGGTCCGGGCCCCTGGCTGCAGGATTCTGGGGAGTGGCACTCTAGGGCTTCTGTGGTCCAATGGCCTCAGCTGACTGCAGTCAGCCAGCAGCCTAGAGGCTGAGGAACAGCGCCAGTCACTCCCAACAGTGGACTCTGGGGATGCTGAATCAAGGCAGGAAAGGTTACTAGTCTGCATCACTAGCTTCTCTGTGCAGACACAGAGAGAAAGGACCTAGAGACCAGAGGACCTAATTTAATTAAGATATTGAAAAGGCTTTTGATAAGCTCCACAAAAGGCCATTCAAACATTCAACCACCACCTAGTGGCTAGAGGAAGTCCCTTGTCAGCACTTTGAGCCCAGCTCTTCCAAGCATAGTTTGTGGATTGGCCAAGGCCTCATTCACATCCTGACAGCATGTTAGAAAGTCAAGGTTGTGAGTCCGCCCTGACCTACTGAATCTTTGAGGTGGGACCCAGGAATCTGGGTGATAGATTTCCCTATGATTTTTTTTAAGGAGTCAGGATTGTTTGTCCTGCAGGAGGTTCTGATGCACACAAATGTTTGAGACAAACACGCTCTCAGAAAAGTGACAGGAGTCCCCCAAGGGATCCTTTTTGGAGCTGGATATCTTCTGGCTTTTCAAACTCCTATATGATACTAATGCCTTAAATCTGCTGAGCTGCTTCATGGTAGAGTGTCAACTTAATGAAGATACACTAAAAGAAATTCCTGGTTCTGACTTTTGGGAGCACTGCTCTCCAAAACTGCCTGATGAGGAGCGGGTTCTGCCAAGGTGGCCTTTATCCTCTACTGATGGGTACTTTGCCTATTATCATAAGTGTCCTTTGCCTATTATCATAAATGTCCTGGGAGGTTTTATAAAACAGGTACAGCAGGGCACACCTGGAATCTCAGAGGCTTGAGAGGCGGAGGCAGGAAGATTCCAAGTTTGAGGCCAGCCTCACAACTTACCGAGACCGTCTCAAAAAGGGCTGGGGATGTGGCTCAGGTGTTTAGCATGAGTTCAATCCCCAACACCAACAAAAAGACTAAAAACAGGTACCACGTATATGGGACACAACTGAGAAGAAGGTGTGTGGGAAAGAAGAAAGGGAGGGAGGAGCAATCAAAGCAAAAGGGAAATAAGGATAGGAGGAGCAAAAAGGAAAGTTGTCAGGCATCAGATTAGTCTACAAAGCTCACATCAGAAAGTCCTGTGCCTGTGCTATAACTGAGTGACAAATATAGCTCTTTGCTTCCTGGCAGCCTAAGCAAGGATGCACATGGTTCATTAGATGGAAACATACCAGTCCTGAACTCCCCAATTCTGTGGTCAGTGAACAACTTCTCTTTCTCTGTAGGTGTTTTCAAAGGGAATGTCACGTGCTACGGTGGACTACATTAACCATAAAGCACACAGGGAAACATGTGCTGATATACCCAGTGTCTCTTTACTTGGTTCACTAAGAAGCCCAAGGAGTCCAAGCTAAGAAGAAACTCCATGCAAAATTAGTGACATCTGGTGATCTTGCTCTGTGCATTCAGAGACCAGCATGAAAAAAAGAAGCCTGGTGCTCCCAGTCCTCCGTGACTCCACCCGTCTGCCTCAAAACCAAGGGCAGAGAGGACAAGGGGAGCTCAAGGCTAGTTAATCATCACAGTCATGAAAAATATTTTTCCTATTTTTTTTAATAACAGATGTAATATTTTTGAAATGTTCTGAAAATATGCATATATAATTAATTAAAAGCCCACTTTTAATCCACTGTTGAGCAAGAACCGTATTAAGTCCACACTGCATATGAACACATACAGGAGCTTAGGGTTTCTACTTTGTTGCATCTGGATATCATTGGAACTTGTCACAGGTTTCCAAATAGGGGATGAGAAATAAGTGGATGGGGAGGAGCGGGCCACTCTGCTCTCTCTCAGCACCCTCAGGGGGGCAAGAGTAATTTGGGGATACAGAAAAGGAAAGATAGATTGGATCTCAAAAGAGAAGTACCCACAAACCATTGCACCTCCTGAGCAACCTGGCCTGTGTCCTTGACCCCTGCTGGTGTGACATGAGTGCAATGTATAAGTGCAGGGAAAACTGGAGTAAAATTATGTGGCTCTATCCCTATCTGGCCCCTAGCAAACGTCCCTCTATATATAACAGCCCACATCAGGGGGTTGCTGTCCCTCCCTGTGGAGATGGCTTGCATTCTCCCTTGAATGTGCCTCTGCTTCCCTAAATAAACCTCTGTCTCTGACTTGTGTGCTGAAATTCTTTTACCCCACTGGTCCTGAACCGAGGTCCCTTCTCTGGGAACTTCTTGGACCTCCAGTACCAAAGGTGAGCCAACCGTAGACAAGAGGGGTGCACTGGGGCTCTTGGTTGCTGTGCAAGCTTGTGAGCTAAATGCATTTTTCTCCAGCCCTTTGCTATGGTCTGGATATGGCTTGCGTGTGGGTCTCAAAGGTGCATGTGCAGGAGTCTTGGGCCTTGGTGTGGCAGTGTTGGGAGGTCGTGGAACTATTAAGGGGTGAGGCCTGGGGGAAGGTGATTGGGCCATTGGGAAGGGATTCATGTAGTTCTGGTGGGACTCTGGTTATTTCCCACGGGAGTGATTGCAATAAAAGGGGCACTCTTGGCCTCTGAATCTCTCTGGCTTCCTGTCCTGCCATGCAATCTTCCCCTCTCCCATGTGTTTCCACCATGATGCCATGTAACCATATTGTCATGTAGCCAGAAAGCCCTCACCAGAGCTGAGCAGATATCAGCACCAAGCTCTCAAACGGCCAGATCAGCGAGCTAAGTAAACCTCTTTTCTTTATAAAGCACCTGGCCTCAGCAATTTTGTTAAAGCAACAGAAAATGGACTAATGTACCTGTGCAAAGTGTGAGGCATGCGGTGAGCGAGGGGGAGAAATTGTTGATCTTAACTGGAGGCTTGTAAAGATGTTTATTTTAGATACCACACCCAGCACCACAATCGGCTATTAACACAGGGCTATTCCTGTTGACGTCCAGAAGAAAAGCATCTTTGGGGAAGGTGGGGGAGGGCAGATGTGGGCTGCCACTTATTGAGCACTCACTGTATGCCAGGTGCCAGGCTCTGAGGCTGGGCAGGCAGCCCACTAGAGGGAGTTGCTCAGTAACTTTGGCCATCATATCCTCATTGCAAGGTACGTTATTTTATAAAAAACGAGCCTTACAAGGGAACCCTCAAATTCCAACATCTTCCCTAGAAGGAGTCAGTTTCTCAGTGTCTAAGTTGCTTTCTCCTCTCTCCACTTCTCTTTCCCTCCTTTTTCCTTTCTCTTCTTTCTGAAAAGAAAATATCAAGTAATGGAAGGAATGGCCTAAGGACAGAAAATGATAATACCATCAGGTAGAAAAGGCCACC